ATGTTGACTTATTTGTGTCTCCAACTTTCAGAAAAAAAATATCTAAATATTTTAAATAATAAGTAATTTCAAATAATAAGTAATTTCAAATAATAAGTCAATATCAGCCAATTTTTTTTGTTGTTAAAAGCAAGTCATTGGTTTGAGGGGATGTAACACTATATAAATCGTTTAAATGTTTACCAAGGATTAGCATTAAAGATTTTTATTTATTGGAGACACTCTCAAAGAAAGCTACTGAAGATCTTCACAGAACTAGAAAAAAAACCCTAAAATTTATAGGGAACAACAAAAGACCTCAAATAGCTAAAGCAATACTTAAAAAAAAACAACATGCTGGAGGTTCACAATACTTGATTTCAAAAACATATTACAGAGCTATAATAACAAAACAGCATGATGTTGGCATAAAAATAGATACATGTACTAATGGAACAGAATAGAGGACCCAGAAATAAATGCATGCATCTTTAGCCAAATGATTCTCAATAAGGATCCCAAAAACACACATTGGAAAAAGCAAGCCTCTTCAACAAATGATTCTGGGAAACTTGGATATCCACATTTAGAAGATTGAAAATAGATTCCTGTTACTTAGCCTGTACGAAAATCAACTCAATATGGATCCGAGACCTTAATGTAAGACCTGAAACTTTGAAAGTACTAGGAGAAAATGGAAGAAACAATTCAAGATACTGGCAGGGGCAGTGATTTCCTAGTTAGGACTTGAACAGCTCAGGAAATAAAATGAAGAATTGATAAATGGGATATGTTAAATTAAAAAGCTTCTGTACTGCTAAGGAAACAATTGACAGAGTGAAGAGACAGCCTACAGAATGGGAGAAATTCCTTGCTAGATATTCATGTGACAGAAGATTCACATCCAGGATATTTAAATAACTCAAAAAAAATGTAACAACAACAACAACAAAACAAAAGTAGTCCTGTCAAAAAAAAATGGGCAAATGACCTGAATAAATACTTCTCAAAAGAAGTACAAATGGCCAATAATTATAAGAAAAAATGATCAACATCCTCAGCCATCAAGGAATTACACATCAAAACTACACTGAGATTCAACTTCATCCCAGTTAGAATGGCTATTATTAAAAAAAATAACAAATGCTTGGGAGGATGTGGAAAAAGGGAACTTATATACTGTTGATGGAAATGTGTATTAGTACAGTCACTATGGAAGTAATATGGAGTTTTCTCAAAAAACAAGAAATTGAACTACTCTATGATCCAACTATCCCACTCCTGGGTATGTACCTGAAGGAAATGAAGTCAGCATATCAAAGAGATACCTGCATGCCCATGTTTTTTGTGGCACTGTTCACAGTAGCTAAGATTTGAAATTTGACTAGGTGTTAACAGATTAATGCAGAAAGAAAATAAAGTGCAATGTACAAGGGTAAGCCATGAAGAGGAATGAAATCCTATCATTTGTAAGAAAATGGATGGAACTGGAGGACATTATGTTGAGTGAAATAAGTCAGACACAGAAAGACAAGTATCACATTTTCTCTCATGTGTAGAAATTCTAAAAGATGAACTGAAAGTTGGAGAGGGACTGTTAGAGACTGGGAAAGGGACCGGGGGAGGGAGAAGAGAGGACAGTAAGTGAGGATACAGGGAGGATAGGCAGGATCAATGATATGTGCATGTATGGAAATGTCACAAGAACATGATTAATTTTTATAATTGATATGTGTTAATAAAAGAGTACAAAATAAGAAAGGCATTGACTAGTTGAGATTATTTCCTTTTTTCCCTAGTTCCAGAGGATCAAACCCAGGACCTCCTGCATGCTAGTCAACTGCTCTACTGCTGAACTATACCCCCAACCCGCAAAGAGTTGAGTTTGATTATACATCAGCAGAAATAACTTGATTCGTAATTGTGTTTCCTCATGTTTTATTTAGTAGTAAAAACTGAAATATTAAAAAAAATTATTTGATTCTCGCTGGGGCTGGGGATTGTGGCTCAGTGGTACAGTACTCGCCTAACATGCATTAGGCCCTGGGTTCGAACCTCAGCACCACATAAGTGTAAAATAAAGATATTGTGTCCACCTAAAACTAAAAAATAAATATTAAAAAAATTTATGAACTGTAGCTACAACACTCCCAAATACTTAACATAGAAAACATACAAAATCTTAGAGTGATAAAAAATAATGGTTTAAGTCGAACAAGATTCTATAAACAAACAACATACTCTAATAATAAGTCTATTTGCAGGGGACAGAGTTATTGGTTTGCAGTAAAGCAAGTTATCTTTTAAGTAATAATATTGATAATAGTTGTATATTTGTATGTGGTGAAGACTTGAAACCATATAGAAAATATTTAAGTAAATTTCTCCCTTCTGAGACTAAGGCAGGGGGATTGCAAGTTCAAAGCCAGCCTCAGTAACTTAGTGAGGCCCTAAGCAACTCAGTGAGACCCTGTCTCTAAATAAAATACAAAATAGGGCTGGGGATGTGGCTCAGTGGTTGAGTGCCCCTGAGTTCAGTCCCTGGTACTGCCCCCCGGGCCTGAAAAATGTGACACCAATGCTATTTATTTTAATTATTTAATTTTAATTTTTAATTTTTTCTTTTTTTAAAAAAATATTTTGTTTTTTTAGCTGTAGTTGGACACAATACCTTTATTTTATTTTTATGTGGTGCTGAAGATCAAACCCAGGGCCTCAGATGTGCTAGGTGAGCGCTCTACTGCTGAGCCACAACCCCAGCCCCCTGTTTCTTATTACCTCTTCTGCCTGCTTCCTCCCTGCAACTCTAGGTCATTTCACAAGCACATCATTTTGTGATGTTTTATTTAGATTAATGTGTAAGGCTGGAAAATACTGTAAACAAGTAGAAACAATGTAAAATAGATTATATTGAAGATAACAATTCCAAAAATAAAAAATTCACCCTTCTTTTAGTCTCCAATTCCCATTCTCTCTTTATAAAATTATAAGCATTATTTTTTCTTATTTATCCTTCTAGGAAAATATTTGCATCTATAAGATAGATATACCACTTTCTTGGGGAAAAATGGCATTCTGCTCTATGTACTTTTCACTTTTGTTTTTATACTTAATTCTGTTTCATAGACATATCCTAGACATAGATGCACTCATTCTTCTTTTTTTTTTAATTTATTTTTTAGTTTTTCAGCAGACACAACATCTTTGTTTGTATGTGGTGCTGAGGATCGAACCCGGGCCGCACGCATGCCAGGCGAGCGCGCTACCACTTGAGCCACATCCTCAGCCCGCACTCATTCTTCTTAATGATTATATAGTATTTGCTAGCATGGATCACCAGGGTTTGTTTATACTCATTCTGATGAGCATTTTTGGTTGTATGTTTCTAAATTTACAAAGTTACAGTGGCTCTTATTATGTGTATATGTGTCTACCTTTTAAAGTATGATTTTACAATGAAATATGAAATATATCAGGACAAAAGGGACAAAAGGAAATAAAAAATGGGACATATTTTGGGTTACAGAAAGCTAGTTGCAAAAAGATGCTATTTCTGATGGATAGCAGTAAACTAAAAATTATTTGCTATCTAGTCCCTTCTTGAAATAAGATAGAATATTAGTAAATATATATGATAAAAATGTCAAAATAGGTCTCATGATATCATGATGTTACAAGTTGGGAAATGAAGAAAGTTTTTCTCCATGCAGAATAGCTTTTCTGTTTTAGGGTATTGACCTATGAAAGATCAAGGTTTGATTATATAATTTTATATATAGTATATATATTTACATATATACTTCTATATTTTTATCAAGAACTATAGAATCAAGTGAAATTCTAGATGGGATTATATTTTGGAATCTATGCCTCATACAAATGTTCAGTATTTTGGGTAAGCAAGTCATGAAATAAAGTATAAGTAGCTGCAGGGTGAAAAATGTAAATATTTATTTTAAAATTAAGGTATTTTGTCAACACAGATGATCTTGAATAACATTTTTCACTATGGCTAGCTTTCTTAATTCTTTCCCTCTTCCACCTTCCCCTATACACAATGAAAATAAAAAAGAAAATGTGTTTTACATGTATTTATATTTATGCCAAAAGTCTGAAGAGAAACCAAGATGTCATGAAAATGCTGTATCTGTGCAGAGAATTTTGGGGAGTGGGCAGAATATGACTGTGCGAGTGGATAGTACACAAGAGAAAAAAAAAAGAAACATAATGGAAGCATCTGTCTATGGGTTCAGAAGGTCTGAGCAAATGTAAGAGTAAGGAGAAATAGTAATCAGCTGAAATAGAAGAAGATGGAGTCTCATGAAAAACTGGGAAAAGGACAAGAGAAATGGAAAAGGGTTATATATTACAAACCAACAACTTTTGTACCGGGGATTGAACTCAGGGACACTCGACTACTGAGCCACATCCCTAGCCCTATTTTGTATTTTATTTAGAGACAGGGTCTCACTGAGTTGCTTAGTGCCTAGCTAAGTTTCTGAGGCTGGCTTTCAACGTGCAATCCTCCTGCCTCAGCCTCCCGAGCTGCTGGAATTACAGTTGTATGCCACATGCGTGGCAACAACTTTCTATTTTTAGATAAAATTTTTATTTGTGCTTTTTAGTTATACAGGACAGTAGATTATACTTTTACATACAAACATGGAGTATATCTTATTCTAATTAGGATTTCAGTCTTGTGGTTGTACATGATGTGGAGATTCATTGTGGTGTATTTAATTATGTACATAGGAAAGTTAATTCAGATTCAACCAACAACTTTCAAATGGCCATTTCATCAAGGCAGGTCATGTAGAAGATAGAACTGTGGAGAGAATGTCTTCCAGTGAAGGACTGTACATTCCACAGGGATTCTTTTTAGTCTCTATTATGATGCTGAGCACCATGAGTAGCTCTGAGATATAGTGATTAATAACATAGATGAGGCTTCTGTTTGTATGCAACTTCTATTTTATTGGACTCAGAGTGAAAGGCCCTCTTTCTTCAAAAATCTTCAACAGGAGCATACAAGAGTTGGAAGTCTGTGACTGTGGAAGAATGTTTCAACATAGAACTGAAGGATGGACCAACTGATAATTCAATGATTGGAGTTATGAGAAAGCACACAGAGTGGAAGTAAGATGTTAAGTTAGTAACTGAGGACACTAAGCAGAGAAGCTGACAAAAAGAAATGAAGGGCTGGGGATATAGCTCAGTTGGTAGAGTGCTTGCTTCACATGCACAAGGCCCTAGGTTCAATCCCCAGCACCACACACAAAAAAGAAATGAATGTGTATATATAGTATTTTCTTCACTTTTATCCTCATATTCAGTAATAAAGGGTGGAAGAATGCTATAAAAGTGAAAGGTATAATACTAAATATGGTCTTCTGAGGCAATGATTCATCTCACACTCCCATTGCCTTTTACGTGAGGATAGTCTCCTCTTTATCTTCTATTATTATTCCTCCTCCTTCTCATATTCCTCTTCTTCTTCCACCTCACATTCAATTTTCTTTCTTTTGGTACTGGGATTAAACCCTAACCTCTTAACCACTGAGCCACATCCCTAGCCCTTTTTATTTTAATTTTTTTAATTTTGAGACAGGGCCTCACTAAGCTGCTGAGGCTGGCTTTGTACTTGCGACTCTCCTGCCCCAGCTTCCCAGGCCACTGGGATTACATACATGCACTACCGTGCCTGGCATTCATGGTCAATTTTCTAGAGAAGTCTTCTGTTTGGGCAGTAGCTCAGGTCCCAATTTATCAAATCCCTCAGAAGTCTCCTCAGATAAAAATTTTTTATATAAAAAATAATCTTGTATTTTTATATATTTTTATTTATTTTTTAAGTATTTTTTTTAGTTGTAGTTGAACACAATGCCTTTATTTTATTTATTTATTTTTATGTGGTGCTGAGGATTAAACCCAGGGCTTGCACATGCTAGGCGAGTATTCTACTGCTGAGCCACAACCCCAGCCCCTATATTTTTATTTTTAATTATCACCCAGTAATCATATATATTTTGGGGTACAGCGACATTTCATTACATTACTCAATGTGTAATGATTAGATCGGATAATTGACATATCTATCACTTCATACATTTTCATTTCTCAGTGTTGGGAGCTTTCAAAAATCCTCTCTATTGGCTGTTTTCAAGTATTTAATTGTTGTGCACCAGTTATCTGACTGTGCTGGAGAATATTAGGAACATTATTCCTCCTATCAAACTACACCCCTTTATTATATAGTCATCTTCTTTCCCTCCTTTCCTCCCATCCCTAAACCCTTCTCAGGCACTGGTGACCACTTTTTGATTCATGACCTCTATGAGATCAAATTTTTATCTTCCATATGTAACTGAGAATATGTAGTATTTGTCTTTCTGTGCCTGATTTATTTCACTTAATATAATGTTTCCAGTTCCATCCATATTGCTGCAAATGGCAGATTTCATATTAATTGCTCAATAATACACCATTGTGTATACATTACACAATTTCTTTATTCATCATGTCCTTCATCTTTTTCCATCCTTCTCTTCCTCCCCCTCTTACCCTCCTCCCCCTCCTCCTCCTCCTCCTTCTCAGTGCTGGGGATGGCCTTGAATATGCTGGGTAAGCACTCTGTCACTGAGCTATGCCTTCAGTATTCATTCATCTGTTGATAGACACCTCAATTGATTCTATATTGTGGCTATTGTGAATAATGCTGCAATAAACATGCAAGTGCAAATGTGTCTTTAACACACTGATTTCGATTCCTTTGGAGATATATATCTATATCTATATCTATATCTATATCTATATCTATCTATCTCCAGGAGTGGGATAGCTGGGTTATATGGTGGTTCATTATCTAGTTTTCTGAGGAACCACCATACTGTTTTCCATAATGGCTGCACTAATTTACTTTTCCACTAACCATGTATGAAAATCCCCATACATCATCTTATTCCTCACCTTACAGGATATAGTTTCAACTTTCACTCATTCAGTATGATGTAGGCTGTGGGGTTTTCTTTCTTTTTTTCTCTGCAGTGCAGGGCCCCAAGTATATTAAGTAGACACTCTCACTGTGTGACATCCCAAGTCCTGTGGGTTTGTCATATATAGTTTTCATTGTGTGGAGTACATTTCTTGTATACCTATCTTTTTGAGTTTTTTTTTTATCATGAAAGGATGTTGACATTTAATACTTTTAATGTGTTTATTGAGCTGATCATATGGTTTTTAAAAAAAATTTATTCTAATTTGTGACAAATGACAGCAGAATGCATTTCAATTCATATTACACATATATAGCATGATTTTTCATATCTCTGGTTGTACACAACATAGTCACACCATTTGTGTCTTCATACATGTACTTAGAGTAATGATGTCTATCTCATTCCACTGCCTTTCCTACCCTCATGCCTTCTCCCTTCTCCTCCCTCCCCTTTGCCTTAGAGTTCATCTATTCCTCCCATGCTCCCCACCATCCCCATTATGAATCAGTATCCTTACATCAGAGAAAACATTTGGTGTTTGTTTTTTTGGGGATTGGCTAACTTCACTTAGCATTATCTTCTCCAACTCCATCCATTTACCTGCAAATGCCATGATTTATTCTCTTTTAATGCTGAGTAATATTCCATTGTGTATATATACCACATTTTCTTTATCCATTCATGTACTGAAGGGCATCTAGGTTGGTTCCACAGTTAGGCTATTGCAAATAAACAATAAACATTGATGTGACTGTGTCCCTATAGTATGCTGTTTTTGAGTTCTTTGGGTATACACTGAGGAGTGGAATAGCTGGGTCAAATGGTGGTTCCATTCCCAGTTTTCCAAGGAGTCTCCATACTACTTTCCATATTGGCTGCACCAATTTGCAGTCCCACCAACAATGTATGAGTGTGCCTTTTCCCCCACATCCTCACCAACACTTATTGTTGTTTGTATTCTTGATAGCTGCCATTCTGACTGGAGTGAGATGAAACCTTAGAGTGGTTTTGATTTGCATTTCTGTAATTGCTAGAGATGTTGAACATTTTTTTCATATATTTGTTGATTGATTGTATATCCTCTTCTGAGAAGTGTCCATTCAGTTCCTTGGTCCATTTATTGATTGGGTTATTTTGTTTTTGTTAAGATTTTTTGAGTTCCTTATAGATCCTAGAGATCAGTGCTCTATTTGATGTCCATGTGGTAATAATTTGCTCCCATTCTGTAGGCTCTCTATTCACCCACTGATTGTTTCTTTTGCTGAGAAGAAGCTTTTTAGTTTGAATCCATCCTATTTATTGATTCTTTATTTTAATTCTTATGCTATAGGAGTCTTATTAAGGAAGTTGGGGCCTAATCCAACATGATAGAGATTTGAGCTTATTTTTTCTACTATTAGGCGCAGAGTCTCTGGTATAATTCTTAGGTCCTTGACCCACTTTGAGTTGAGTTTTGTGCATGGTGAGAGATAGGGGTTTAATTTCATTTTGTTGCATAGGGATTTCCAATTTTTCCCAGCATCATTTGTCAAAGAAGGTATCTTTTCTCCAATATATGTTTTTGGCACCTTTGTCTAATGTAACTGTAATTATGTGTGTTTGTCTCTGTGTCCTCTATTCTGTATCATTGGTCTACAAGTCTCACCACTTATATTCAACATAGTTCTTGAAACACTAGCCAGAGCAATTAGACAGATTAAAGAAATTAAACAGATAATGGATAGGAAAAGAAGAACTCAAATTAGCATTATTTGCTGACAATATGATTCTATACATAGAAGACCCAAAAAATTCCACCAGAAAACTTCTAGAACTAATAAATGAATTCAGCAAAGTACCAGGATATAAAATCTACACCCATAAATCAAAGGCATTTCTGTATATCAGTGACAAATCCTCTGAAAGGGAAATGAGGAAAACTACCTCATGTACAATAGCCTCAAGGAAAAAAAATACTTGGAAATCAACTTAATGAAAAAGGTGAAAGACCTTTACAATGAAAACTACAGAACACTAAAGAAAGAAATTAAAGAAGACCTTAGAAGATAGAAAGACCTCCCTTGCTCTTGGATAGGCAGAATTAATATTGTCAAAATGACCATACTACCAAAAGCACTATACAGATTTAATGCAATTTCAATCAAAATCCCAATGACATTCCTCATAGAAGTAGAAAAAGGAGTCATGAAATACATCTGGAAAAATAAGAGACCCAGAATAGCTAAAGCAATCTTTAGCAAGAAGAGTGAAGCAGGTAGCATCACTATACCAGACCTTAAACTATACTACAGAACAATAGTAACAAAAATAGCATGGTATTAATCATATGGTTTTTATCTTTCATTTTGCTAATGCAATGTATTAGATCCATCAATATGAATTTTATGTGCTAGTGGATTCAATGTGAGAGTATTTTTTAAAATTTATAGTTGTAGATGCTTATTAGCTTATTATTTGCTTATTTTTATGTGGTGCTAAGGATCAAACCCAAATGCCTTACATATACTAGGTAATCACTCTGCCACTGGGCTACAGCCCCAGGCCCCAATTGGAGAGTATTTTGTTGAGAATTTTTGCATCTATATCCACCAGAGATATTGGTCTGTAGTTTTCTTTTTTATTGTATCCTTATTTGGTTTTGGTATCAGGGTGATTGATTTTGGCCTTAAGAATAAGTTTGTTAGTATTCCTTCCATTTTAATACTTTGGAATAGTTTGAGAATGATTTTTTTTTCTTTTTTGATATTGGGGGTTGAACCCAGAGTTTCTTGATCACTGAGCTATATTCCAAGCCCTTTTTTTAAAAAAAAATATTTAGAGACAGTGTCTTGCTGAGCTGCTTAGTGCCTCATTAAGTTGCTGAGGCTGAGTTTTAACTTGCAATCCTCCTGCCTCAGCCTCCTGAGCCACTGGGATTACAGGCATTCACTACTGTGCCTAGCTGAAAATAATTTTTTAATTTTTTATTTCTTCATTGACACATTGGTTGTTCCAGAGCATGTTGTTCAATTTCTATGCATTGGTACAATTTCTAAATTAACTCTTGCTGTTTGTTTTATTGTAGTCAGTAAGATGCATGTTATGATTTCAATTTTTGGAGACTTTTTGTGTTTTATCCTGGACAGTGTTCCCTGTCCTGATGAGAAGAATATGTAGTCTATAGCTGTTGGATAAAATGTTCTAAAGGTCTGTTAGATCCATTTCCTCTGTTGTATAGTTTAAGTCTGATATTTGCTGTTCTTATTGGTGTATTATAATTATATATAATAGTGGAGATCATTATGCCTTTGTTGAGTTTTTGTCTGAGTGACCTATCCACTGATGGAAGTGGAGTGTTGAAATTCCCAACTATTACTGTATCAGAATCTTTCCTTTTGGATCTAATAATGTTTGCTTTTTTTTTTTCTTGGAGTTACTGGGAAATGAGCCCAGGGGTGCTCTACCACTGAAATATACCCTCTCTGTTTTTCACTTTTTATTTTGAGACAAGGTTTTGCTTCAAACTTGTGATCATCCTGCCTCAGCCTCCCCAGTCATTGGGATTACTAGGCATGGTAATGCCATCATACCAGGCATGACATTTGCTTTATATAATTGGGTGCTCTAGTGTTGGGTAACTTTTTTTGTACCTTTTTAGTTTTTTGATTTAAGGTCTATTTTATCTAATGTAAGTATAACAATTCCAGCTTGCTTTAGAATTCCCTTTGCATGGTGTATCTTTTTTTTTTAATATCTTCACTCCTTCAGTCTATATGTGTCTTTACTGATGATGTGAATTTGTTGTAAGCAAGAATTTTTTTTAAATCCATAAGCTAATTTATATATTTTAATTGAGGAATTTAATCTTTACATTCAACTTTACTGATGATAAATAGAGACATTCTTGTTATTCTGTCAATATTTTTCTGGTTGTTTTGCATATTCTTTCTTTCTTGTTCATCTTTATACTTTGGGTTTTTTTTTGTTTTGTTTTTGTATCGGTACGGGATGATTCTCTCTCTTTTGTGTATCTACTTTACTATTGAGTTTTGTAATTTGTGTATGTGTTCATGCTGATAATTGTCAGGGTGTGTTGCCCAGGTCCTCCCAGGCTGTGGAAAAGTGGGTGGAGCCTTATGCTTGGTTCACAGGGCTGAGTTGGAGTAACTGCTGTGGGAGCTTCCTGGCTTCTTCACATGACGGTAGGCAGGCAGACTCAAGATGGTGCCATGTAGCAGGAGCCTATGTGGGGGCGGGTGCAACATGCCCTCTTTCTCTAGGGCTTCAGTGATGTGGTATTCCCTCAGCTCACCAAACTGAGTTTAGAATCTTCAGGGGCCTCAGAAATCTTCAGTAGAAAATGCCTCAGGTGTTTGTCTGTGGCATGAGCAGATATTGCTGGGAGCATTCTCTTTACTCTCTCTCTGCCATGTGAAGTCCCTCTTGATTCGGAGTTGATTCTGTGTACTTGTACCTATTCTTTAGAAGGTCATTATATATCTCCATGCTCTGCAATATCTCTGCCACATCTTCACTGTACTTCAATTGCTCTTACTTAAACATCCCAGTAAAATAGCTGTTATTTTTTCTTTGTTTTGGTCCTTGTTGTGGAGTTAAGTACACTAGGCACCTCTAGACAGCAATATTGCTTCTCTTATAAAATTTAAGTGGTTTCTCCTAAAAGGTTGTGAAAGTGAAGGGATTCCAGATAGGTTATGGTGGCTAAATTGTAGTAGTATTAATATTTATTTATTTATTTTAAAAATATTTTTTAATTGTAGATGGACACAATACATTTCTTTATTTATCTTTATGTGGTGCTGAGGATCGAACCCAGGGCTTCACACATGCTAGGCAAGTGTTCTACCACTGAGCCACAACTCCAGCCCCAGAATTAATATTTATAATGTAAAAATGAATGTACTTTAGTTTCTGTCCTGAGCTTATTTACAGTATTTTTTTTTGTACCAGGGATTAAACTGAGGGGCACTTAACTACTGAGACACATCCTCAGCCCTTTTTAATTTTTTTATTCTGTAACAGAGTCTTGCTGAGTTCTTAGTGCCTAGCTAAGTTGTTGAGGCTGGCTTTGAACTCACAATCCTCCTGATTCAGCCTCCTGAGCCTCTGAGATTACAGGTGTGTGCCACCACGCCCATCTTATTTACAATATTAACAGGCCTTTTAGACAATAATCATTTGGTTGGTATCTCACTAAAACAGTGACAGATTTTGCATAAATTATTTTGCAACTTTTTGGTATGTGTGGAACTGGCTAGGGGTGGGATGGCAGAAGGAACTGGCTTTGATTTGGGGATATTTTAAATTTAGAAACAGTCTTCTCTTCGAAGGTTGTAGAGTAGTAAGGATAAAACACTATGGACTTAATACATTGTCTAACAAGTCTGTCAGCCGTTAGTTAACTCTACGACTCCTGAACTTCAATTCTCAGTTCCATGTTGTAAAACTAAGTTTGTGACACTGATTTTATTCACTTCTCCTTGTTTTTCTTTGGGAATGGACTAAAAAAGTTCTAAAATAACCTTGAGAATAGTCCTGTTTCTGTTGCTTTATTTCTAATACACTTTGTGATTTGACTTTAAGTTCATTTAATATATTGATGTAGTCAGTGTTTGATCTAAGTTTACCTTAGAAAACTGATTGATGTAATGATGATTTGAATGTCTTTCTTTTTATGTACATACATTTTCTTTTCAGTATTCAACTAGGGGTTTGAAATTTAACTTCTCCTTTTCTTAACTGTTCTAGTATCATAAATTCCTTTGTTATTTTTCTTTTCTTATTGGACTTGTGGCTGTGATCATATCAAAGCTTTCCATGAGATATTGGACATAATCAGATGAATTCTTCTGTAAGTAAAAATGTACATATTTGATAGAACAAATACTTGAGTGTGTACTCTGCCCAGTTCTCAGTGTTATATTTCTACTTAGAATATACTTGAATATAACATTTTTAATGCCTAGTAATTGTGTTTATGATACCAAATCAGCAAGTATAGAATTGTGTAGGTTAAACTTAAAAGGACAGTAAGTTTATTAGAGGATTCTTTGTTATCAACTGTGGTTGTATGTTTAATGTGCTTCTGAACTATAAAAATATCGTTATCAAAAAACCTCATTGGTCAGGTGCAGTGGCTTACACCTGTAATACCAGCAGCTTGGGAGGCTGAGGCAGGAGTACCACAAGTTCAAAGCCAGCCTCAGCAATTTAGTGAGACCCTAAGCAACTCAGTGAGACTTGTCTCAAAATAAAATACAAAAAAGGGCTGGGGATGTGGCTCAGTGGTTAAGTGCCCTTGGGTTCAATCCTAGTATGTGTGTGTGTATATATATATATATATTTTTTTTTTTTTCAATCATTGGCTGGGTATAGTGGGGCTTGTCTGTAATTCTAACAGCTTGGGAGGCTGAGGCAGGTGGATCACTAGTTTAAAGCCAGTCTCAGCAACTTAGAAGACCCTAAGCAACTCTGCAAGACCCTGTTTCAAAATAAAATATATAAAGGGCTAGGGATGTGGCTCAGTGGTTAAGTGCCTCTGGTCTCCAAAACAAATCCCTAGTATCCAAAACAAAACCAAAACAACCCCCCCAAAATCACCAAACAACAACAACAAAAAACCTCATTGATTTGAAGCATGAGATAAATGTGCCAAACATTGCAAACTATGTAATGTAGATTAGACTGTTTATGCTATTTTGACTCTTGTATTGGCGAATTTTAAATTTCTATTAAATTGGTTGAGTTCCTTGTATAAGTTAAATCATTTTGCTTTCTTTTTTTGAAAAACCAGCCAGCTGTGTACTTTTATAATTAACACACACCCTCCAATATAAAAATTAGAGTAAGGGAGTGAGTCATTTATGTGGCAGGGTTATTACCTTCCACAGACCTGCCAAATCCATAGTAAGCTATTGGTTTTCAGTTAGTCTGTCTGGAGAGGAAAATTCCATTTCATGTAACTTTCTGAATTCTTCTAACTTTCTGTTATTGTAGCTCATATGTTTATTAAAGAAGTTTTCATTTGCAGGAAGAAGCCCAAGAGAAGTTTGGTTAGAAGCTGTTTACAGAGATGTGTTCAGGTCCCAAGGAATAGAATGTTGCCATCAGTCTTCCTGGGTCAAGGAATGCAAATTGTGATGATGACATTTATTACTTTATGTGAGTAGGCTCAGATAAACTCTAAATGCTTGTTGGGAACTGCTTATGTGTTAAACTTTAATTGATGTGTACAAAGGACTTTGAAAATGTCCTAAAGTTTAAGGAAATTTGCAACTTATAATTCTGTCTTGTCAAAATTAAAGATATGAGTCTGAATATGTATCTATATCAAGGACCTTCCATAGCTTCTTCAGCCATGAATAATCTGTTGTAACTTGCAATACATACATTTCTTGCTTTGCAAAAGAGATGCATTCTTGAAAACCAGTAAGTGAGTAGAATCATATTTTAAGTGGGTTCAGGGGGTTCATGTACAAAGTCTAGCATTTTGATATGCTGTGGCCAACTTAAGCGATGGTCTTTAAGTGTATAAATGGAATGGCATCTTTAGTCGTCTCATAATAGCTTATGAACCTCAGATGCCTTCATTTATAAACTAAAAATGGAGCTTGTCAGTTTTTGATAGCCAGAGTAGTGATTTTCATAAACAAAGCTGCTGTAAAAAAATGGCTCATTAGGTGTTTCAAATGTCAATGATATTTCAAAATTCAACTTTTAAGGCTATTTTTTCCCTGAAACAACATCTCACTGATTTATTATTTTATTCCTCACTTGGAATACAGAGAAATAGAAGGAAAATTTCATGGGGAAAAATGATTTGTTGCTTTTGGAGTGACTTCTGGAGTAGGGAAGGGGGATATATTTTATTAATTTTGTCTTAGTAAAAATGAAAGACTAATTCAACTTGAAAATTTACTTTCATTTGCCTTGAATTAAAAAATCAAAGAAGTAGCTAAGTGAAGTCAGGCATAATGGCACATGTCTGTAATCTCAGCAATCCGGGAACTGAGGCAGGAAAATGGCAAAATTGAGGCCAGCCTCAGCAAGTTCAAGAGACCTGTCTCAAAATAAAAAAATAAAAAAGGCTGGGGATGAAACTCAGTAGCAAAGTACCCCTGGGTTCAATCCCCAGTGCAAAAAAAAAAAATGTAGCTAAATGAATAACATTTGTTTGCATCATGATTTATCTACTCCCATTAGAAAATTCCTTGTGTGCTGTTTTGTATAATGTGTCTAATAAGGTTGTTCTTAATTTCTTATAAAGTCCTATCCACTCTAGAGACTCTTCTTGTTACTGGTTTTCTATTTCTTATATCTGCCTTTAGTTCTGGTTTTCTTTCCCCTGCCAATTGAGGTGCCTTAATGACTTGTGCTGTTATGTTATAGGCCCTTCTGGGAACCCCTGCCGGATATGTGTCTGCTAAAATGTATAAGAGTAAGCATTACTACTATGGTTATTCCAGTAAGCTGGTGTGTTCAATGTAGAAATTAAAAGCCTCCAAAGTAAAAAAAAATAAAAAAAGTTGCATGTGGAATTTGAGCTGTCATATCAAAATGTAATTGTGCCTCGGTTACTCTAAAGTATTTGTAAAGTGGACTAAATCACGTTGCTGCAGTAACTATTCTGTTTTTCACTTCCTCAGCATTTAAAGGTGTAAAGTGGAAGACAGATTTTTTTGCTGACAGCACTAATATGCCCTGGGTATCTCACGTTCTCTTTCCCTGTGCAGTTATATTCTTCCTTAGACTTCCTTTTAGAAAAATATCATTGTACCCTGTGGTGAAGAGTAGGAAGGAGATGAATGATCACTGCTTTCTGTAGCTGCAGTGTGCCCTTACTGTGTGTCTGCATTCCTTTCATCTGTTTGTACATTGTAATCTCTAGTACAAAGAGATGGCAATGGTACTGTGAGATCTGATTTTGATCTTTGTTTTTGAAGCAGATTTCATAAATGCTCATCTGTTTTATGCATTTGCATTACATATCATGCTACAGTGGCAATTTCTGCAGGATATTTTGTTATTCTCCTTGTTGCTGCTTTCAGTGACTGTTTCTTCCTGTTTTCCCCTCATTATTGCAGCATCAATAGTGACTGCAGTTGCAAGGTACAGTCATGGTCAATGTGGATATGGGGGTGGTGCTGTGCAGTGCCTGTGAGAATAGCTCATCCAATCCCTTATTTATATAGATGCAGAATTGGTGGTCAAGCTAGGGGGCAACTTCAAGGTCATATGTGAAGTCAGTGACAAGGCCAAGCTATATCTAACCGAGTGTCTCCCACTGTGACCTATCCAGTCCTCTTCTCACAATATTTCACTGATCAAGGGCTGAATTGTTTAGGGTTTACTTCCAATTCCTTGATATGCTTTTGTGCTAGTTTGGATTATCATAACAAAATATAATAAACTGGGTGACTTAAACAACAGAAATTTTTGCACAGTTATAGAGGCTGGAAGGTCCGACCACGGTATCGGCATAGTTGTGTTCTAGTCAGGCCTCTCTTTCTGGCTTGCAAATAGCTGCCTTCTCACAGTGTCCTCATACATGGCACATGCATCACATGCATGAGAACATACATGTGTGCTCACCCCCCCCCACAGATTGGTTTCTGAGGTTTCTTCTTATAAAGCTGTTAATCCTATGGGTGCCCTACCCTCTTGACCTCATCTAACCCTAATTAGGTCCCAAAGGGCCAATCTTCAAATATTATCACATTGGGGGTTAGGGCTTTAACATATGAATTTGGGTAAAGCATAATTCAATCCATAGCATGTTTTATTCATTCATAGAAAGGAAAAATTCTCCTCTGGATATGTTCTGAAAGACAGTCTTTTGTTTAATTTTATTTTGTTTTCAAGGAAATAGTAATCAATTATATCTTAATTGTTTGGGTATTTTTATTTTTATTTGTAACATCCCCATGTCTTTAATGTTAGAAGTGTATCACAATAAGGGAAAAAGTCCTATACTGAAAGTATTAGAGAGGCAGTTCAGTGACATGGACATTAAAAACCAGTTAGTGGCAAAAAAAGAGCAAATGCTTTAACAATGCTCTGTGACTGAGTATAATGCTATAAATGATGAGTTCAATGACATATTCAGTAGACTGATAATCTTTTATCTATATAAGGCTCATTTCCCTCTAAACTCTAGGGAAAAAGATAAAATCATTGAAAGGATTCAACATTACAAGATTGCACATCAAATCTATGTACCTCAGAATTTTTGACTGATTTTAAATAAGCTTAATGCACTCCTTCCCCTCACTTCTTTGAATAGAGCCTTCATTTTTTTTCTATAATTCTTTTTTAAAGGAAGTCAAATAGGTGGTCTTTCCTGAATGTTTTATTACATTTGTGTAAGAGAGAGGTGTCCTTGACAATTTTTCAGATATTTGTTGCTTCCAGTTCAAGACTCAGATGAATGCAAACTGAATATATTTGGCAACAAAGTACCACTGTACAAAAGTCATTACAGTGAATTATAATACAAGGGATATCACATGCAAGAAACAGTCAAAAAACCATCTATCGTTCCCTGCATTATTTACTCATTCATCATCCTTACTGTGGGGTTTTGGGTTTTGTTTTTGTTTTCACTATATTCAGGCATTTTGCTAGACACTGCATGAGAAATGCTCCTGAAACTCTGCTTTCAAATGATTTATAACCTAGTGGGTTATTGGAGTAGGAGGAGGGGATGGTAAGATATGTAAACCAGTGACAGTTCTGTTAATAGGAATTAGAGTTATAAGAGGAATATGTATAAAGTGATGTGGGGGAGCAGAGAAGGAAAAGGGTATTACCCACTCGGGGCACCCAGGAAGACTTGACAATCTATGATTGAAAGACATTTAGAACTCAGACACTTTTGTACTTGACCCTCTTCCATTTCTTTTACAGCCTTGCTCAATCAGGTACCTCTCCTCTATTATCTATTTTACCTCTTTAACAAGGCCTTTGTTTTTCTTCCTGCTAATAGATGGACTCAGATCTTCCCTTTTGGTTACCTGGCTCATCACTAATGCTTTTTTCTTAAAGTTTCATAAATTTATACATGCTTATATATTATATTTCTGCAATATTTTTAGAATTATCACATAATACAAAAAGACATGCAGAGATATGGGTTTTTAAAAATTGTGTATGGTAAAATTCATTTCTTTTGGTGTGTATTGCTTTGAGTCATGACAAATGAATGCAATCATGTAACCACTACCACAATCAAGATGCAGAAAGGGCTGGGTGTGGTGGTGCCCACCTGTAATCCTAGCAACTCAGGAGACTGAGGCAGGAGGATTACAAGTTGGAGGCCAGCCTCAGCAACTTAGCGAGGGCCTGTCTCAAAATTAAAAATAAAAAAAGTGCTGGAGAGGTAGTTTGGTGGTAGAGTACCACTGGGTTCAATTCCTAGTACCAAAATATAAAAAAAATAAAAAATATAAAGAAAGGTTTCATCACTCTAAAACATCCCTCATCTTACCCCTTTGTAGTTAACCCTGTCATCCACTCCAAATGTTGGCAGCCATTAATCTGTTTAATATCCCTATAGTTTTGCCTTTTCCAGAAAGTCATACAGTGAGTCATATGAACTTTGTTTGAATCTAGTTTATTTTATTCCTTACTTTTTATTGCCAAATAATATATCATTGTATGGATGTGTCACAGTGTCTGTATTCACTGGATGATGAATGTTTAGATTTTTCCCTTCAGATTTTCGTGGTTATGAATAAATGTTGCCATAACTGCTGCAAACTTTCATAAAACTTTTTTTGTTATAAATTTTTATTGATTCTCTTCAGTTTTACCTAACATTAGATTTCATTTTGACATAATATAAAAGCATGGAATATAATATGGTTTATTCAGCCTCCATGGTACTTCCCCGTTCCCTCCCACCATCCTTCCCTTAATCTCCTTCCTCCACACCACTGGTCTTCTACTTATTTATCTATTTATTTTCAACTGATACTTTATAGACATACATAAACATGGAATTCCCTGTGGTATATTTATATATACACATAGCATGATTTAAAAAAATTCATTTTGCATTTCCTCCTTTTTTCCATTCCTCTTTCCCTCTTCATCTCCTTCTACTCTACTGATCTCCCTATGGTATCAGATCCTCCCTTCCTTCTTTTCTTTATTTTGTTCTA